ACACACACACACGCACATATATATATATATATATATATATATATATATATATATATATATATATGTATATGTAATCTCAATATGGACTAAAGGACTAGAGCAACCCTATTATGGACCCATACGTATGTATTTCTATTTCCTCACAGTGAATGCTAGTATCTAAGGGTGAAAATGGCCAAAATAATATCAGTATATTATAATAATTTAATTTAATAATGGAAATTATATGCACATTATATGTAATTATAATTATATGCACAAACTGTGGAATTTGAACACTTATTTCACACAATTATAATGTGTATTTGAATGCAATATACCGGAAGCATTACACATTCTCAGTTTATTGCAAAAAATGACTTAAGACATCAGAGGTTAATACAGATGACCTGTTTGCATTTTTTTCTTTCTCAGGTTTTCTTCGCCCAATCCTGAACCCTCTCCTGGGAATTCCTTCATGGAGCATGCAGCATCACCCACTGTCAATCAACACAATAACTTCACAATCTATCCATCAATGTAAGTTCTGAGGAACATCTTGTATATGGTTATTTTTTTTCCCATTGCTATCACTGTTGATCTCTGCAATAACGAACCCAGTGCATGACTGGTGTATGTGTGTGTGTGTGCATCTGAAGGAATGACTCCATGTTAGACACTGAAGGTGAATTTGATCTGGATGAGACCATGGACATGGCCCGACAGGTGGAGGAGTTCCTGCGACAGCCCATGGAAACCCAGTGGAGTGGACAACAGTCATGACCTTTAAGCTTGTGATATCTAATGTGAACTACACAAAACTCGATGGTTCCATTCCATATTTTTATCTTAACAAATGTTAAATGTTATGTTTGTCAAAGCTGATCAGTGGCTGTGTAACTGCCTTTGCATTTTATATATAGTTTGATGTGTAATTTTCCATCATTAACCATTGAAGCACAATAGTCTGTCATGTGCAATGATACACTTCTATTTGGCTGAATATGAGTAGCTACTTTTCCACTTTCAATGCCCTTTATCTTGATTGTTATACTAGTCTTATCTACTTGATCAAATTTTTAAGTCCAGTCACACAGTTGGCTAAGACATTGAGCTTACAGTATTCAGTTTTCTCAATTTGTCCACCTCCAGTTACAATTTGTCCACCATTACAGCTACATTCAAGGTTGCCATGTCTGTGAAACAAAACCAGCCCAATTGCTATTCAAAACTAGCCCGAAACTAGCCCAATCATTCCGTGGGGTCCCTCTCTGTCGAAATAGCGTTTCGAGGGTGGTGAGGGAGAGATTGATTTAACCTGCAGATTAAAAAACAGCCCACGACAGCAGTGTAAAAGGTTGCATTGTGTCATTTCTGCAACTAGTGGCACTACACAGAATTGCAAAAAATGCTGAATGCATTCAACAGGTTTTCCACTCACCTTGTCCTGCATTGTCTACCAAACAGGTAGACCTGGCTGACCTGATAACTGTAGTTACAGTATCCCCTAGCATTGAAAATGTATGAAATTTATCATGTCACCTCAGAATATCCATGTGTTCTAAACCATTCACACATTAAGCTGTTAGCTTCTGAAATTTGATTGCCGATTTTTAAGATTTGGGATTGGGGATGTTGTTGTATGGAAGCACTTCCTTTATCAAACGGTTGCTGAGTTACGGTATTTTTTTTTAGTTGTGTTGTCTCCTATGGGTGGAATTTGACACAATTTATCTTGAGAACAAACTGAAGAATCAAAATTCTTTCGATAACCTTTGTATTTAAAGTAGCCTCTTGGTTAAGGTTGAAGAGAGTACATTTTTCAAGTTCAAATGCTCTATCCTACTTTTTCTTGATGTGCAGAGACTTGGTCAGCTATTAGTAGGTGATTCCCCCAAAAGTGTGAACACTGTGACTCTGTAAAGCTTTGTAAATATCACTCTACCACCAACCCCATATAGCAACATTTCCTCAGCCAGTGGCTTGAGTTTGGGTCAGGACTGACTTCTTGTCTGACCAATGGAAGATGGAGAGGCTGAGAAACAAGAGAGGTGTTTCATTTGATTTTGACAGCAGTGTCTAGATTCAGCGTATTTAACGTATGACCTAACAATAGTTTGCTCATGTTGGTCATAAACAGCATCTTCTCCGATAAACAGGCGATCATGTTATGGTGGTTGGGTCTGTATGTATGTTAACTTGAAAGGTGTCAGTCAGTTGAAATAATTTATTATTGGTGTCTGAACTGTCTTAGCATCTTGGCAATTTCTGATTATCTGACTCCCTCCCACCCCAGATACCAAATTTTCCAGATACCTGTGCCTTAAACAGCTGAGGTTTGTCCAGTAGTTACACCAAAGTCTAGTGTTAGCCTGCAAATTTTTGGTCATTTTTAAATCCTCTCAGATTATATATATTGATCTGAAATTATTTTGACGCTGCAGTCTTTTTTTCCCAGTAAATATCTCTAAAGAGTAATCAGTGTATTTGAGAGCCAAAATTGCACAAGATATCAGGAGTTGTTTGTGAAGTTTATTTTTTTATAACTCATTGCTAAATGCTTCTTTTAAACCTTTAAAGCCTTCTTGCCTGAATAGTTAAATTGGTTTTATAGATATCAAAGCAAATGACAATATTAATTAGAAAAATCTGCCTTTAAAGGGCCAGTACATTTTAAAAACAAAGTAATGTAAAATGTAAGAACTTCATGTCAGTCAAGATAAAGTCGCTCTCCTCAAGAACAGATCTCAGGAAAATACACATCAAAGAGTTGTTTTTATAATTACCTATGCAGACACAGAATTTTATATAAAAATAAACAAATATATATATTGAAAATATAGTTATAATTACCACAGTGCTATCTAAAAATAAATATACTGTTGCAATGCAAATAAATTGTGCTTGAATTATCTTTAGAGCAACTGAAACTTGGTTTTAAAGTGTTCCTAATGTGATGGCTTGGCTTTAGTGTGTCTTATTTTTTTTCTCTAAAATCTACTCTTTTGATCATTATTTGTACTTTTTCCTATTGTTGGAAATAACATGTCATTATGTTCTATATGTAAGGGATGATGTCCATATATACATAGATGAGAGGTTATCAGGACCCTGGCAGTAAGTGCATAGGTTGTCCTGATTTTTATATATTTTTTTGTGATAGTAATGATTGGCTGGCTCTACGCTAACCCTTTTATTACATATGGCTGCTTAACAAATAAATGTATAAATGCATGGTTTTGAGTTGAATGATTGTATCTTGAAGAGAGGGTGGGAAGACGGCGAACAGGTGTCACAGATCAGTTGTTATGATCAGTTACAATGTTATCATGGACAATGGTCATCATTCAGAAATATTTGACCACCATAATCCTCTGCATGACCAGTCATGTTTAAACATTCCTCAGAGCTGTGTAATAATGAAAATCTAACTTAACTGGTTCTTCTGGTAGGTGTGCTGATGTTTTGAGATGGGATTTGCTTAACAGTACACCACCAGTACAGGACATTGGACTTTGGTAGCCCAGAGCAGTATACTGCATCAAATACCTAAAAAAAGATTTTAGTTTGTCATCCCTTGTTGGTCCCTTGAAAATGTTTGTGAATGTATTTTAGAAGGGGTAATAACTTCTTATTACACAATGCCAGATTTTTGATGGAAAATCAGTTTTCAGTTAATGATGATGAAAAGCTATTAATTTTCCTGCCACTTATTCGGGACCGGGTCACAGTGGCAGCAGGATAAGGAGGGCAGCCAACACATCCTTTTACCCAGCAATTGTCTCCAGTTCCTTCTGAGGGATCACAAGGTGTTTCCAGGCCAGGTGAAAGATGTAATCCCTCTAGTGCAGCGGTGGCGAACTCCGGTCCTGGAGAGCCGCAGCCCTGCAGAGTTCAGCTCTAACCCTAATTAAATCTCACCTGCCTGTAGCTTCCTAATAACCGTTCAGACCTTGATTAGCTTGTTCAGGTGTGTTTGATTAGGGTTGAAGCAAAACTCTGCAGGGCTGCGGCTCGCCAGGACCGACGTTCGCCACCCCTGCTCTAGTGCATCAAGCTTGGCTTCCTCTTCATGACAAAGATCCAATACAATGGCCACATGCTTCAACCTACCCTCACTTGTAAACCAGACCCCGAGATACTTGAACTTCTACATTTGGGGGAAGCAACTCACCCTCTACCCAAAGAGGACTATCCACCTTTTCTGGCTGCGAACCATGGCCTCAGATATTGGGGTGCTGACCCTCATCCCCACTGCTTCACACTTCCAAAACTGCCCAAGTGAGCACTTAAGGCAGGGGTAGGCAAGTTCGGTCCTAGAGGGCCGCAGTCCTGCAGAGTTCAGCTCCAACCCTGAAAACAAAACTCACCTGCCTATAGCCTTAGTAATCCTGAAGACATTGATTAGCTTGTTCAGGTGTGTTTGATTAGGGTTGGAGCTGAACTCTGCAGGACTGCGGCTCTCTAGGACCGAACTTGCCTACCCCTGACTTGAGGTCACAACCTAACAAGGCCTTCAAGAGAGTTCAGCACTCACTGGGGAACAGGCTTTGCTTATTGTCAAGAATGCAGACTCAGCTCTTGTACCACAGGTTTTGCACTTGCATAAACAGCCCCAGTACCCCATACTCCTATAGTGCCTCCCTGCCACAAGATACCCCAGGGAACACATTCGTAAACCTTCTCCAAGTCCACAAAACACATACTGTAGACTGTATAAGAAAACTCCCACATCCCCTTTAGGATCCTTTTTAGAGTGAAAAGCTAGTCCACATCTGGAGCAGAACCTTTCCTCCAGAATGTTTCCTCCTTCATATGAGGGTCGACAATTGGCCAGATTCTTCTTTCCAGACACCCTTGTAAGACATTCTCCGATCCCCTTTTTTCAAAATGATTTCCACACAGTGTTGAACAGGCATGTTAGCTATGACAGCCCAACAATATCCAGAGCCTTCAATCTCTTCTGAACTTTTCAAGTACCTCAGTGACCTCCAATTCCAAAACACCTTCTCCTTCTGCCTGACAACCTCTTACCATTGGTTTCTAGCAATGTGTTCTCTGGTTGCTGTCACGACAGCTACTATAAGGTAGTTGTTTCTCCATTGGTAGTATTAAAAGATCATCTGGACAAATGTTCCTTGTTTGGTTTTCCCGGGTCTGTCCGGTAGCCTCTTAATCTTATCAGTTGACAACTCTGCTCCTCTCTTTACCCAAGTGTCCAAAACACACGACTGTATGTCAGATGGTATGACAGCAAAGACAATCATTGTTCATTGGCCTAAGGTGCATTGGTACCAAATACATTACACCACCTTGAACATGGTGTACATTATGGCCAATCCATGATGTGCAGAGAAGTCCAAGGACAGAACACCACTCAAATTCAAAGCAGACAGGTCATTCCTCACAGTCACTCCCCCCCAGGTTTTTCAATTTCTGTCCCACAGTACAACTAGGGAGTACCCAGGTGGTACCCCTTTATAGGGCCACACCTAGGACCTCCAAGAAGCCCGGTTACTCTGAACTGTAGTTTATTTAAGTTAATTATTTGAGCTCAGTGCATAAACACATTCTATTCATAAACACATTACACAGTCGAAGTTGCTCTATACTCTATGCACTTACACTATGCGCTGTGTACTGTACCATCTAGTGTATGAGATTAGAAAGGTAGTATTGTCTCCAATGGAACACTAGCATTTTTTATTAACCTGAAGTTTAAGCCTTTTCCCAGTTGAAGGCAAATTATGTAAAACACACATAATGAAACACTACTAGCGTTAGCTTATTACCCAAACTGACAATGAAAATTGATTTAAATGCTTTACTAGTCAACATCTTCGTCCCAAATGACGCACTATGCACTTATACACCCTGTACTTATGCACTATGTACTCAACCATGTAGTGTATGAGTTATATGTTTATTTTGTCATTCAGCATTGGAGTCTGGTAGCCACTCCCCCTTCGCTACGTAATTAAAGCTGCGGCAGTTGAGTGCATGAAGTGTCCAACATTTCACACTTCATTTTTTCGGTTATTTAAGTGCATCATTCGGGTATTTAAAGTGCACTTTTTCTTTTTGGAATTTTCAGTGTGAATGCAGTACTCGCACTAATTATACTACAAAACGTCATAGAATAGTGCATAAGTACGCGATTTGGGATGCAACTAATGTTAGCTTTCATGCTCAACATGTCCTCACTCACCATTAGGTAGAGGCTTAATCATCTCCTCAGGCAAACTTTGCTTGCACATTCCAAAATCATTAGTATTTTCTGGGTATGTTCATGATGCCAGAGTTTTAAAACAGTCCCATCTATCACAAGGTTTTATACACCCCCTGGCTACTGGTGATGATGGATTCCCCCTGTCTGTCCCAGCAAATTAAACTGATGACTTCTTCACACATCAGCAATCTTTTAACCACCACCTGTCAAAAGCATACAGTGTTGTGGAGAGGACATTTCGGTTTCTGAAAACCAGGTGGCACGGGAAGTGCTGGAAGTTCATCCTATTTATGCACTAGAGGTAGAGGCATGCTGTACAGCTCTGCATAGCAGCGTCTTAAAGGATGACATCATGGATGCAGACAGAGGAGACAAATTTAGACCACTGATTAGAATGCACTTGTAGTACTGGCAGACAATGCTGTATGTGGGGCAGAATAAAGAAACAAAATGGCAGCTATGTTTTATTCCATAATCACAGGAGGAAGTGGTTCTCCCATACAGCCATCTCCCTATATCTCCCTGTCTTCTACTATCTCTCTCTGTCTGTCTTCCGTCCTCCCTCTCCATTATCTCTCTCCAGCCTTTCATCCCTTTCTGTGGACCTCAAATAGTATGTCATTGGCCTCTATCCTTCACCTTTTTGGGGTGACCTTATGCAGATCACGTCTCTCATGAGTCTCACGAGTCACCAAAAAGAGAGGTGAAACCACTGTTGCATCCTGGGAGAATGAGGAAATGAGGCCAGGTGGAGTCACAGATGGTCTGCCCCCAGTTACCTCATCCATCAGACTGCACCACTTCCAGGTAGCAACAGTGATTTCATCCCCCTCTGTGCTTTTTTTGGGGCAACTCAAGTCCTGTATAGGCAAATGGATAGTTTACTTCATGGTTACACAAATACTTTCATTTTTATTTGTGTTGTCTAGAATTTAATTTCAGCAGTCTGTACTCTTCTCTAATTAACAATGAATGTCCATCACTTTAGTTATTTGGTATGCAGCTAATTAAGAAAAGATGCTGACATGCAAATCGTGCTTTTATCTTTTGTCTTTTATTTAAGATTATCCTATTTTTTTCATCAGCAGTACTGATTAAAGGGATAGTTCACCCAAAAACGAAAATTACCCCATGATTTATTCATGCTCAATGCATCCTAGGTGTATATGACTTTCTTCTTTCAGACGAATACAATTGTAT